ATGCAAAACTAAAAAATAAATAAATTAAAATATAACAAACTATTAATAAAAACTTCCATTTTAGCATATATTTTTATTTAAACTTACGATCTTAATTTTAAACGACAACTATTGGTAATAATAAAAATGAATTAGTAGCAATCAATAATCATTGAATAAAAACTCACTCTTGCATGAAAGTCATTAATGACATCATATTGAAATAAACTACTTGCTGCGGTTTCAAATACCTTTTTATATAAAAAAAAAATCAACTGCTTTAAGTGTGAGTACCTTGATTAAACTATGAAATGTGTAAAATTTGTAAGTTGTTCCTAAATTTGCGTTTTTTTGTTTTATTGTTTTTTAGGATAGACCAAGTTAGTTCTGGTGTTTCTTTCAGTTTTTCCCTAGTTTCGTATATATATATTTTGAGAGAGTGGTTGCATTTGAAAGTTTTTTATTTTTAAATGATTGCTTGTGGTTTGCATACCTCTTTTTCCATCCTGTGATAAACAGTGAGGATGGAAAAAGATAAAATGTATAATTTGCCAGGCGTGTTTGGGGAAGATGTTAAATGTTTAAAAATTATGTTTGTCACTTGACAACATTTATTCAATGGGCTGATTTCTTTTTGTTTGCAACTGCAAGGGCGATTTTAAGTCGTATTATTTGAATTTATTTTGTTGTTGTGACTTTTCAAGATTTTTGAAATGTTGTTTAGCAACTGTAGCTAATTTTTGTAGTGTTTCGATTGAATAGTTATGCAATGGGTTTGAAGGTGGGAAATGCTTATCTACTAATTGCAAAAAGATTTGGCCAACATTGGTAGATACACTTTTATTGTAGAGTGGGTTAAACCGAAATTTTTTTTTTTCCTTTTGGGAGGTGTCTTAACTTTTGGGTTGTTCTTTAAGTTAAAGTTTTTATAACTGTTTTGCTCAAGTGCTTCTTTGTATTCTGTTTTTGATGAGTTAAATATCAATTTTGCGATAGTCGATCATTAATAGAGAGAGAGATCTGCTTAAGGATTTGGGGCAGGTGGTTTGATTCAGTGTGGATGTTGAGTAGTTAATCATTTTGTTCTTTAAAAGGTTGGTAGGAGTTTTTTTGAAGGTTAAAAGTTACGTCAAGAAAATTAATGCTGTTTAGATTGGTTTGTATCTATTTGAAATCCAATGTTTTTAAGAATCTCAACTATATTTTTTTTGGACTCAGTTCAATTGTGCATTACCATCAATCTGTTGTCTTGGCAAAGACCTATATCATTTTTAGCAATGGTTTTGGATAAAGAGCCTTGAATGAATAAACCCACCAGTTCACATACTTCGGCTCTGTCAAAACATCCCATTGTAATATCAAAACAATCATTATACGCCTTTCCCCCCCTCTCCATTAATGATTGACTTTCACAAAATTCTCATTTTTGTATTTAAATATGTAATCTCAAAACAATAATCTCGAGAAATAATGAAAATAACTTTATACTATTTAATTGAGTTGGTTTTTTAAATAGATTAAAAAACCATTAGTGGTTTTTTAATCCACTCCTGTTTTGTTGTGAAAAAAATGTTTAGAAGTAAAAAATGTTTTGCACTTTAACCAAGTTGCCAATAATTTGTTTCTTATAATATTAAAAAATGTCAAATGCTTTATTTTTACGCAGTACAACTTATAAAAAAATATTAGCTAAAAAAACAAATATTATTTACATAATACATTTTTATAAATATTATATAATACATAAAATAACAAAAATAAATTAATTATAAAAAATAAAAATTATCCACAACCCAGTATACTTAACAAAAATAAAGCAAAAATATAAAACCTTTCTATAAGATCACACAAATATCCATATACATGAGGTGCTTCTTCTTGATCTTCTGTTATTGGTAACCATGTCAACCAATTTGGCAAAATGTCATTTAAATTGACTTGTGATGAATTGTATTTGCAGATTTTAGCTACAGCTGAAATACAATTTTCAGTAGAGCTAATATTAACTTTGTCACGAGAATTAGTATGATTAATAACTTGTGCAAGAAGAGGTAGAACTTCTGCACACGCTACGGAATAATCAACTCCACCAAATTGTGCCATTATACCACAACCATACGCTGCTGCTTGGCGAACCTCAGGACTGGAATCCTGAACACTACTTAATAATGTTTTTAAAAAATACTCTTGATACTTTATTGATGCCTACAAAAATAATTAAAGTTATTCACAGTTAGATTAAAGTTATTCATAGTAAAAAACAAATTGCATTTTAAAAACACAATATATATATATATAAACAACTAACAGCTCCAGTATATTCCAATAAGTCATCATATATACACAATGCCCATTGCCTATCAGATGCAGGTCGTTCAGGTATCATAAGTTTATTAAAGTCAGGCAGCAACTGATCAAAAAAAGGTAGAATAGTTTCTTTGTGGGTCTTAAACAAAGCATGCATTGCATCAGAGATCTTACTCAAAATATACTCGTCTGTATCATGCTCATCTTGCAAATCTTCTTCAACTTCTTCATCATAGTCTTCATCCTTTCTTTTAACTAAAAAAAATAATCTTTCAAATTAAAAGAATTGTTTATATTTTTATCAACATAAAACAATGCTAAATTAAAATTTAACCATGTCTCTCATTTTGACGTTCATCATGTTTTTCAAGTTTCTCATGTATAATCTGTCCAAAATGAGTTAAATGTTCTGGGGTAATGTACCCGACACCTAATACTTCAACACACTAAAATTAAAACACATTTTTATATATCATTTTTCAATTTTATATTTTTAATTTCACAATTTTTAGTGCTAAAATAGTTTTAAGACAAAATACACAGATAATGTTTATTTTAAATTTGGTAACAAAATAATTCAGTAGATAGAGGTCTTTTAAATTAGACAAAGGATTTAAAATTTTTTTGATAATGACCCATATATCATTGAGGTCATATTTTAAATATCCAAAAAAAATTTTGCAAAATTGAAAAAAAAAAAGTAACTGGAATTCATTTCCCTTATATTTGTATAAATTAAGCTTTAAACTGATTGGCTTTCTCAATTTTTTTTGAAACTTTTTTCATTTATTGTATGGTTAATGAGGGAAAAAGTTAATTACATTATATATTGCCAAAATATATATTTAAACTTGCATTAAAGGAAGAATTTTTTTAAAAACATAGAAAAACTAAAAGTGGACAAAAATATCTGGTAATCTGGAAAAAATAATCTTTTTACTGACTGTAGATTTAATTTTTAAAAAAAAAAATTCAAAATTTTGGCATAATTATTTTTTAAACTTTTTTTTTTTTAATACTGTAAACAAAAGGTTTTTGTAACTCAACTTAAATAAATGAAAATTTAAAAAAGAACTCTTTTAATAATCCACTTATTATTGGATCAGACTTATTAGAACATTCTCCACCAAAATTTTAAACAACTCTCTCTTTTCTTTCAAATTTCAACACTGAAACGTTTTCTTTCAATATTGACACAACATCAGCTTGCAGGTCTTCAATCCGTTTCATGTATTTAATTTTTTTTTAAAATGAGTATAAGTAGTTTTTACTATATAGAAAAATTATTTTAAGACTGCTCTTCCAACCGCGTCTTTATTGCTGAGAAAACTAATATCATATTTGCATAGCTCAAGACCATATATAAACTTCGGCACAACTAAGGTATTGTACAAATGGACTATTGTTGACGGATAATTCAACATATTGAAACTGAGATATAAACTCATTTAAATTTTTTTTTGGAGTGTTGCAATTTTGTTTTTGCTATGGTTGAATAAGTTGAATAAGTATGGTTAAATAAGTATTTTTGCCTTTTTCTAATATAGACTTCATTTAGAAAAATATGGGTTTGTAGCCGTATAGAGTCCTGCGGTACACCACTTAAAACACTAAACAAAGTTAAAACAATTTCTCTAAAAAACAGCTTTTTTCTTTCTATATATTAAAAAGGATTCATTTCATTTAAGAACAAAACATTTTATAAAGTATTATTTAAATTTAAAATATAGTTTTTTAGAAAAAAACTATACCAAGTTGTTATTTTAGACAGAACAGAGATTTTATCACTATAATATCTTTTATCCATTGCTACAGTTAAAACATCTTTTAAGTAAATGTTAAGTAGTAACATAAGTAATAAATGTTAAGTAATGATATATATTCTGTCAATATTCTGTCAACCGTTTCCTTGCTCTATAACTCTGTTCTTTTTTTTCCTATTAACTCCCAACTTAATAGTGGTTGCTTGCAGCCTTGTTGGGAGTGAATGCAAATAAAAAATAAAAAAAAAAAAAAAAAATAAAAAAAAATGACATAAGTAGACTATTTTGTATTGGTCAAACGATTATTTTAAAGACAGAGGCAGATCTAGCATTTTTTTGTCTTTGAGATAACCCCCTCAAATCGAGAGGGGTTCAAACTTTATATATTTATTATATGGTCATAATATTTTAACGCTAAAACATACTATAAATTTGAAATTTATTGATGAATATAAATCTAGCTAAGAATAGTACAAAATATATTTTACCAACTTGTTGCTCTAATGTTTGGGGCAGAGGCAGCAAAAAATTCATGGCTTTTTTTGTCCCTAAACTCAAATCATTGCAATTTTTTGCAAATCATTTTATTTGACATGAGAATAAATGCACAAAAGTTGGAGTTTGCTCCATGTTAGCCAAAAAATCTAGATCCGCTCATGTAAAACTGATTATAAATAGATTCTACAGTTTATATTTTAAAAATGTGTTTAACAGTAATCTTCTGTGTTTTAGGGAAGGTACTTGATACATGGAAATCCATTTGATGGCATTAATGATTTCTTGTTGAGATTCTAATACTTAATAATAATTAGTTAAAGAGTTCCAAGTGGTATCCACTAAAGTCCTACGTAGTATGCTTTGATGAAATTTTTAAATGCGTCAAAGAAGTATTTTTCATACAAAAGAAGTTTATTGTTTTATTTTGATACTTTCATTCTTTTAATGATATATCTTGCAAAAAGCTTGACACATGGACATTATTTTTGTTGTTGCTTTTATTTATTAATTGGCAGAGGGCATCTGTGAAACAAAAGCTTGCTAAATCAAAAACAATCCAAATTGCTATGAACTCATTAAATTTCTGTTGCAAATAAATTTCCTTCAAACTTCAGTTAAACGTTAAAAAAGAATTCCACAACTTTATGAATTGAAAGCAAAAATTCCATTTAATATTTTGCATATCAAATATTAAGTAGAATGACAACATGCAAGTCACAAGTCATAAATCACAGAAAGCATTGCTTAATCGTTAAGTTTAAACACTTTTCTTTAATTTTTTTTTAATTTAAACACTTTATCTTTATTTTAATTTAAACACTTTATAAACACTAATTTAATTTAAACACTTAATCGTTTAGTTATCAAGATTGACTTTGCAATGTGGTTGGTCTAATAAAGGCTATAAGTATCACCTGTAACCAGACTGAATGAGGCCTATGTAGATACAGTTTAGCATGGAGATAAAGTTGTGCTAATTTATCCAGGAGATTAAGTTGTACTGTTTTACAATAAAACTATTTAGTCATCATATAAGTCACGACGTCATATAATGACATCATCATTTTTTATAAAAGTTTCATATAAAACATTTTATTTATATACATAAACTTGTTAACAAATTTATAAGACAAAATTGAACTCTTATATTTATTAAGGGATCTTAAATAAAATATATACACATATATAGAAAGAGAGAAAGGGGTTTATCTGAAAACATAAAAGTGCGTACAAGAGAGAGGGGAGTTTAAAGACAGAGAGTACATATGCAATTTGATTATCTCTCATTTTATATTTCTTAAAACTTGATTTCTTTCTTTTTTCTGTCTTTTACATAATGTAATATTGAATTTTTAAACATGAATTTAAAAAATCAATATAACACTATGTAACAGACAAGTGTCAAACAAATTAAATTTTTTGTTTTTAATGTTTTGAAAAATTTATGTGTTGGAGGTGTGAGGTTAATTTTTTATAATACAAAATAAATAATGCAGAAGGAGGAGTGGGGTGGGGTTGTTGAAAGAATCAGGTTTACTGCATACGCACTTTATAGATGGCCCCTGATTAGAATTTATTTTTAATAAAGAGTGTATTTATGACACAAAATATCTTTAAAAAACATGAAGTTTCAATACCTTAGCAAAACTGTCCATTAACTCCGGAACAACAGCTTCTTCCGGTTCCCGCTCAATTGAACTTAATAGTTCTGGGCAAATGTATAACCACATTTGAGAAAGATACTCATCTCCTAAACCAAATATGAAAGTAAAGTGTTATTAACTCTTTTTAAAAAAGTGCAGAAACCAAACATTTATGAAAAATACAACCTTTTACTCTAGCACATTCTAAAAGATGTGGCAAGGATTCTGCAGCTGTAACACGCACAGTATCATGAAAATAAAATTTTAGCAAAGGAACCATTATTTTAACAACCTGCTCAGTGTAATCTGCAAACCCTTCTTTTAATTCTCTAGCATAATGTACTAACATTTGACAGGCTGTGCTTTTGTCTTCTAAACCTGCTGTCTTGATTCCAAATTTTTGTTGTTCACCAAGATTTACAAACTCCCACCCATCATCTTCATCAACATTTAAGCTTTGTGGATCATCCACTAAATAATTTTTTTGTTTAAAAATTAAACTAACTTAACAGAACGGAAAAAGAAGAAAAAATTGTAAATCCTTACAATCAAGAAGTGCAACTTCAGGTTTAATTTGTGCTGCTTTTAAGACAGGTGGCATTACCACAGGTAAATACTGCACAAAATCTTTGCCAATTATTTTGCACATTCGAGCCCAAGCTGAAATCAAATAAGATATCTGTGGATCATCAGCTTCTATTTCTTCTGAGTCTGTTTGAGTTTTTAACAACAGTTGCATCACTTCAGATGCATCAGGTAGAAACTAAAAAAATAAAACATTTAAAAACAAACATAAAATTATTTTTACACATACACAGTTGCAATGGAAAGTAAATTGGCAATTAAAAAAGTAAGTTTTTTTTTAGTATTTTGATGGCAAAATAAACTAACTGCTGATGTTATTTTGAATATAAAATACATTTTTTCTGAGATATTTTTTGGTGATAATTAAATATACAAAACTAAAACTACAAATCCAGAATTAGGTTTTTAATAACAAATAAAATGTAAGTTAACAAAGTAAAATTATAGAAAATTAATTGTTATATAACTATTAACAAAATTAATAACAGGTTAAAAAGGATGAACTCTAGCAAATGGTTAGGCTTAATATTAATTGATCTTTTAATATCTTGAGATATTAAATCTTACTTTTAGAAATTGAGTTTTTTTCTTTGATAAGCTTTTTCTGACTGTCTCCATATCATTAGACAATATTTTGCAGTTCATATTTAATTTTGTGTGACCGAAAAAAACTTTCCCAAAATTGACAAAACTTATTTACATATTTTCTTGCAAAGTTAAGATGTTTAGCGGTAATAATCTTTGACATTTTTTCAAACTTGAGTAACAACAAATTTTTTCTTGAAATATAAAACACATTTGGGATATTCTGCAAAGATTCACTAGCTTGTCTTTGCTTATAAATTATTGTCATTGTTTTGGCATTTAAGAATAAATATCAGATTATAATATATTTTAATATTACATTAAATATTCACAAATTTAATTTTCACAGACTCATAAAATATTCACAAAACCCAATCCTCCGAATTAGAAAAATTGACGTGGGCAATAATTTGCCGACCTTAATCTTTTAGAGGTCAGCAAAAAAAATTTGATACAAAGGTCTTACCATAAAATATAGAAACGAGGTCGACAATTTTTTGCCGACTTCAAACACTTTTAGGTCGGCATTGCTGAATGCCGACCCTAATTCTGAGGGTTGCAAAACCACTGATTTAATATTCACAGATTCAGATCTATAAGCAATTCATAACTTTTTCAGACATCCATTAATTTAATTTACTCAATATTCTACAAAGATATAAAATATCAAAAATTAAAATGTTTAACAAACATTTTAATTTAAACTCTGTGAATGCAATAAAGTAGGGTAACATCTGTCTGATGGTATGAATGGCTATGGACAACAGAAATTAAAAATTTTTTTTTTTTTTTACTGTCTAAATAAAGACATAAAATGTCATAAATTAGAGAATAACCTAGCTCTACAAAAACTCATTATTCTATATGTGGATACAGGTATTTGTTTGGAAATCAATTCTCTACCATCTGGAGTTAAATCAACATGTACAAAATGTCTTTATTTAAAAAAGGTTAAATAAAAGTTTGTCATTAATGCTGATGTATTGACGATATATAAAAATGTAAATATGTAAACGTATATAAAACACTATATTAAAAAATTAATACTAAATCAAGCAGAAAATTTCACCCTATTTTGTTAGAAAAATTAAATTGTGCCATAATTTTAAGAAAGTTTTACCTTTTCAGCTCCAACAGCTAATCCAATCAAACTAATACATTCAATCGACTTGCCACGCAATAATCGATAATCTTTGTCTATTGCATTCTGGAAAATATACTTAAGACTGGGCATAAATCGTTCATAGTATTTTGTAAATCTAGATTCAGCAGTATCTGCCACTGTGGCAATCGTTGTCAAAATTTGTTCAAGAACAAGCTTTGAGCCTCGCTGCAAAAGCTAATGAAAAAATAAATTTTTCTTTACATATAAAAATTAAAATATTTTAATGTTGTCACTAAGTATTTAGGTAATTAGCCATAAATAAAAATATAACTTTACTTTACCTCTTAAAAAATTTATCTTATTTTTATTATATTTATAAATTTCTTTGAAATCATAAAAATCTGAAAAACTTAAAAAAAAATATAGCAATTTTTTCTATTAAGCATTATTAAAAAACCATATATATCTTCCAATATATGTTCTTAATCATGTTAATCTTCTATGCAGGGTGAGTATTCAAATTTGAAAATAAATTCCATGAATTTTCCATGACTCTTCATAAACTTTCATGATAAATCATTAGAGTAATATATTTGCAACTTGGTCATTATAAAACATATAAACAAAAAACTAATTGGTAGAAAGTTCTGAAATCATGTCTGAAAAATTTTTTTTTTAATTTTACTTTTCTGATAACTTATAATGCAAAAATATCAAAAAGGACTTGGACTTGACATACTAATACTTTTCTTTGCATCCTAAAAATATTAAAAGTAGAAAAAAAAAAGATTGTTTTAAAAAAAAACCAATTAAAATTTCATGACATTTCCAAGATTTCCATGACCAGTGACCACCCGGACTATGGTGTATATAGATTGGCAATCACTCAATTTTCTTCTTACCTTATTCCATACAGCTTTTTCAGAAAAAGAAAAAAAAAAGAAAGTAAAATGGGAAAAAAGATTGCTGCCCAAGCCTAAATCCCAAGTTAATGTAGCAACACTCTCTTGCATATTATTTACTATTTGTTTGTCAGTTGATGTATACACTGATGCCCCTGGCAGCAGGCTACTTCAGTATGATTCCAGACTACTCACCTAAAAACCCAGTATAAGGTTCAAGTTATGACCAACCAAATTTTTTTAAATCATTACACGCAATGATAAAGGTAACAATGCTGCACCCCTGACGAGTGATATTTTTATCAGGCTCTCCGAAACATGATTGGTGAATATATTGTGGCCCTGAGGATGGAGTTTTACCTACATTAGTCCAGTACTTAATTTTAATTAGATCTTACAACACTAATATTTTTATTATATTTCTGCTTTCACTAATTGGTTTTTATGTGTATGTATATATGTGTGTATGTATGTATATATATGTGTATGTGTTATATGTTTATATATATGTATACTAGGGTATGTGTATATATATTAGGGTGTCCCAAAAAACAAAAACTTTGAAAATATTCTGCTACCACCCCCTAAATGAGTTCTAATACAAAATCTTTTTTTAATAAAAAATATTTTAAGGGGTCCCCCAAGACTCTTGAATATTTTAAAATATTTCAAAATTTTTTTTTTCTAAAATGTCAACCTGGTATTCAAAAAAAGCGAAATTATATAAAAATTTCAAAAATAATATTCATTTCAAAAAAAAAAAAATGTTATTTTTGGTTTTATTACATAAAAAATTGCACTTTTTAACAAAAAAAAAAAAAGAATATTTTTTTTCATTTTTTGTTAAAAAAGTTGAAATTTTTTTGAAATTAATATATTTTTGGAATTTTTATATAATTTTGTTTCATTTGAGTACCAGGTTGACATTTTTTCCCACTCTGAGCATATTATGTTAAGCTTAATATTTTATCTTCATATTTTTTATACCTTGCACGATGGTTATGATTTTCCATGAGTCTGAGTTTATAAGTTCTATTACATGTGCGATGTCTAAATTATCATTATAATTTTTTTTTTAGTATCTTTGTTATGCTCTGGACATCTGTTAAAAATATCTTTTTAGTTATATTTTTTTATCCTTTTTTAACTTTTTCCTTTTTTCACTTTGGCTTAACAGCTCGGTCTAGTCCTTTGATGCATATTTTTGCATTTTTTTAAAGTATAAATTTTAAGTTATTACCAACCAAATTTGTATTTAAAAAGTTTTTGTTATCATTATTGAGTTCAAAATATTATTTTTTATAGAGCTGAAAAAACAGGAGGCTTTTGCCAAAAACTGGAACGATTGTATAAAAATTCAAAACACAGGCTGAAATTCTAGCTTTGTAAAGCAAATGCAAAAACCTGATTTGGTTGGAATTGGCATAAGTGCTAACAAACTCTGGCATAAACCCAAACTTGTGTAAACCCAAAAAAATGTTTTACGATTTTCAGATAACCTTACTTAAAATATATCTTAAATCTAAGAATGGGAAGTCCCAAAAAGACCGCAACACTATAAATGAATATATGGGAATTTAAGTTATGGAATCTATTTTTTTAAGATACTAATTCAAAATCTATGTCTTGATAACATTTATATATTAATTTCTATATTTGTATAGAAATTAATATATAAATTTCTAGATTTATATATAAATTAATATTTATACCACTACACCACTACCACGTCATAGTGGTGTAGTGGTAGAGTGCTAGCTTCATAAGAGAGAGGTTATGAGTTTGATCCCCACCACATCCCTGGTAGTATCACGCTTAACTTATTTCTCTGCGCAGCGACCTTGTTCATCAAGGTTTGCGTTTTGGAGTTATAGAGTTGAGAGAGGGTTATAACCACAATTAAATAGCCTCCTTGTCTGTAGTGGCCTTCTTGGCCTTGGGGAGGTGAATTAAATATATATATATATATATATATATATATATATATATATATATATATATATATATATATATATGGATTTGAAATTTGTCAGAACTTTTAGATTTGTGGCTTAAATACTAACTGATGTGCCCTTCCAATTTTTAACATATTTATGGAAAAGAAAATTTTAATCAAAGATGAGTATTTAACTTTATGAAAATTCCGGAAATTTTTTTCTATGAAAATCACGGAAAATTATTTTATTCAAAATTGATCGTATTAACTGACAACAAAAACTTTTGTAAACTTTTAATGGAATTTAGATTATTTTACTTTTTACAAAAAGGAATTTCTAATATTCGAAAAAGTTAATTTGAATGAAAATAAAAAAGGCAAAAAAAAAAAAAAAAAAAGAAAAAAAAAATTGTTGCAAAAATTGATCTCATGAAAATTTTATTTATAGAAAACATAATTGTTTAAATGCAAAAGTGGTCATACTTAAAATTTTATGTAAAAATATATATATTTTTTCAAATTAATAACAAAAAACATCCAGAAATTTCTGAAAAATTAAAAGAGTTTTAAGTGAATTTTCGGAGTTCTGGGAATTCCCGGAAAAAAATTATCTATGTTTAATTAACTGGCCATCAAGCTAGAAACGCATACTATCTTCTAAAGTGTTGCCATTTAATGTAGTTCATAAAACACTATAATAGCGTTATTAGTTTTAAAATGCACTTATAACTTTTATATATCATTTTTTGTTCAAACAAAAATGCAATTTCAAATTTTTGAGATTGCTTATGTTGAAAAATAAGAAAAGCATCTAGAAAAAATAGAGTGGAAAAGCATTTAGAAAAAATATATTTAAATAACAATAAAAACTTCAGGAACTTGAACAAACACATGCTTTATAAGATATGTTATGCATTTTTAAAATGTAACTAATAGTCCATAAAAACGCCTGCTAATTTTAAAATCAACCAATAAAACTTTTTTATTAGTTGATTTTAAATTTACTACTAACTTAAGAACTTTGATCTTTATGCAAGTCTATTAAACAAAATACTTCTAAATTTAAAAGATAAAAATTTTGCTCATAGCTTACTTTTTGACATTAGTTAGCTTTCTCTTAGGTTAAGATTTATTTTCTTTTTTCAGTTTATGCTGTTATGCTGTTGTTGTGCTTGTTTCTATTATTAATTATTTTACTTGTCATGGCCAAGTCAACAAAACAAAAATCGTACAGAGGTGGTCATATAAAGACGTGCCATCGCACATCTTCCTGTGAAACACGGATAGGGTCAACTTCAGCTTTATAAAGTTTTTTTTATACTGTATCCTTTTTTTTTGTGGCTAACTCAGCAAAACAAAAGTATTACATGAGTGGTCATATAAAGACGTGTAATAGCGCGTTTTTAGTTAGTAGAACAAATTTCAAATTTCATGCAATAACCTCTTATTATTTGAAAATTATGACCATAGAACAGCAAGGAGTACTGGTACATCGAACTGACAAATAGGCAAAAAATGCAAAAAGTGCTGCTACATTGACTTAGAGTTGTGGTTTGGGCAGGCATAAATTTTTTCTATCAATTAAATTTTTTCTAAAGTTTTTAAATTTTTTTCGGTCTTTTAAATTGATTTTTTTTGAAACAACTAACTATTACATTGTTTTTATCAATGTATCCTTACAGAATGCTAGGGGGGTACAGTACAGGGGGTACAGCTGCCTAAATAAAAAACTATCAGGGCTCGAATTAAGTGATCGCGAATTGCGATATCTGGAAATGCTTCCGGTCTTTAAAATTTTAGTTTTTTAAAAACCGTAAAACTGTTTAATAAAAAATATTTACATCTATTATGATAATGCAAAACCATATTATCATTATTATTTTTATTATTATTAAAGATTATAATTTAAACTTTAATATATTAATTTGTTATAAAACATCAGGTAAAACTAGAAAAATAAAGCACGATAAAGTACAATATAAATATTAAAAAATAAGCACTAATCACAACAATCTAAAGGACTTTAACAGTGATCAAATAATTTAAATAAAAGAAATTGTTAATTCAGATATAAAATACTTTTATATGTTATTTAAATCTCATTCAATATTTTCTTATAAATTTAACGCTTGTAACACTTAAGCAAATATAAAAGACGGAAGAGTTAATATATAAAAACTAATTTAAACTTTTTAATAGCTACTTAAAAACAAACAAAAAAGAAACTCTAATAACATATTTAAAAAAAATATACTTTATAATTTTTTTTCTTATTAAATAATTAAATTCTAATTTAAAACACTTAAATAAATAATTCCATAAGCTTTCCCCCTAAATAAAAACCTATTTTAATGTTTAATATAATGCGCAAGTAGCTTTAGCATACTTTTTTATTGGTTGTTTTTTTCTACAAAATTTTCTACAATGCGCAAGTAGCTTAAGCATAGTTTTTAATTGGTTGATTTTTAAATTACTGCGAAAGTTTTTCGGACCTTTAGTAATAATAATTTTTGTCTTGCAACTTTTTTTTATTTATAATCCTTAAATTACATATTATTAATTATTGTTTAAAAAAACAGTAACTAATAATATGTAAATTTTGACTGATATTATTTTTACAGTAGTAAATTTATTGTTTTGCTTTTTCATTAATTTTTGCAATATGATAAACTGATCGTTTCATTAAAAGTGTTTACAGTTTTTAAAAAAAACTAAGAATTTAATGACCACAGATATTTCTGGATATTGCAATTCGCGATCACTTAATTCGAGCCCTGACTATTTTTTTTTTTTTTCAAAAACTGTTTTCTCAAAATTATTGTTAGATACCTCATGAATCTTTGAAGCTAAAACAACTTCTAAAGCATTGACAAGCGAATCAAGGTAAGGTTCAAGTATTTTAGGAGCACATTCTTCACAAAAGTTTACCAAAGCAGCAGCAGCATGAGCTTGAACTCTTGGATGAGCAGTGTCATTTATCATTAAAGACATTAAACCTTCAAAAGTAATCAAAAAACTTTTTACAATATTTGCTTCTAAATTTGAATTTATCAAAATCAAAATATAAAATAGTTGAATTATACCTGGCATAACTTTGGCATGAAATTTTTTTTGAAATAAAACACTGAAATCTGTAGCTAGCTGCCCAAGAGCATTACATGCTGCATGACGCACTCGTGGATGAGGATCTTGCAAAAATGGAATAACAGAATCAACAACATTAGCAAGAAGAGGCTCCATCTGCTTTATGCAACCTTCTGCAATAGCGGATATAGCCATTAGTGCAGCATGACGATAACGCCAGTCAGCTAAAAAAAGAAGCCTCTTGGTAATTTTGAGAAGGTGAATTTAGTTATAAAAAAAAAGTTAATCTTAATAAGAACTTCATAAAAATATAAGTAGAAAATTTCTAAAATTTCTTACAATGTTGCAACATGGGCGGGAGAGTTGAAATAATATGTGGTAACACAGCTTTACCACCAACACCACATGTGAAACGATCCAGACTGCTTTCTCCAATGACGGAATTGCTAATTTATATTTAAGTATTGTAAAAAAAACCATTCACATGTATGTATTTATTAATATATGTATGCATTTATGTATGAAACATTTGTTTTAATACAGGATGTCTGCCAAAATCCTTAGGTGGATTTCCCTGATATTTTCCTGATTGTCAACCTCTTTTTCCTGATTTTTATTTTAGTTATTATGAGCTTTTCCAGACTTAAATAAGATTGGGGAATAATACATAAAAAAATCATGTACAGTTGAAAATAAAGCATCATTATTACATTTATCAAAGTATTGTTAATATATTGTCATTGTTACTAGTGTTGTTAAAGTACATTTAAAATTTAATCAAAGTAAAATGTAAAAATATTTTTATTGACTCTATAAACTGTTTTGATAAATAGCATTCAGAACAAAATAAAATGAATTACACAAATAATGTATTAGTAAAATATAAAGCTAAAACCAACATATATTTAAAAAATAAAAAATAGACATACACCAAATGGATCAGAAAAAATAATACTGAAAGAATGATAAAAGTTTAAGCAAAAATTTTATTTCTTGTTTAAATGACTGAAAAAGTATTGTCACAAATATTAAAAATCTTTTCAAAAATAAATAATAACTTAAATAATATACTTTTAAATATCTATATAAATTTAGATTTTACTGTAAATAAATAATAATAAACTAATATTTAAAATTTGAAAGTTTGTGCATATAGAACATTTGTATGAACACAAGTAAACACATAGGCATACTAATAAAACACATACATACATATTACATTACATACACATATATACATAACTACATACATACATAAATACATACATGCACACTAGGGTATATCATACTTTGGTCAAAATTTAAAATTTTGACTAGCACGCTTGGATTCCTATGTATTTGGGTATTACTTGTTACTTATCTTAAATAATAAATCCAATTGTTTCATCTTATTTTTTAATACATTATGTCTTCTTTTTCTTCTCTTCAAGAATACCTTTAGTCTTCAATAGCATAAGTATGAGCTTTTTCAGCATCATTTGCAGCATTCACAAAAATTGCTTCTGAATCACTTTTCAGTGTTTTTTATTTAATTACTTTTTCCAGAATAAACTTTTTAGATTAATCCTTTATGTCTATAGCAAGTAAGTCACTTTCGAGCATCAGTAAGCTCAGTTTTTTTTTTGAGCAGCCACTTCGATCCTTTTTTGACTCCCGAGAGTTTTTGACAGATTCTCTCAGTTCCTTAGAGATAACTATAGATTCCGGGTTTAAGTCAAGAGCTTTCATATGGTCATACACAACTCTCTGGCTTATTAATGATTTACACATTAAATTAGGTTGTAACATATTCTTGTTAATGTTAAACCCTCTTTCAACCGCTGCTTGACCATGAAAAAGAGTCAACACCATTTTGATTAATTTGGACAGTGCTGGATAATCATCTAAACCACAAACTCTAGAAAAAAACTCATCCAATCTATAATATATTTTGTTGAAATTCATGAAAAGTTCCCTGTTTTTAGAGACAATCTTTTCTAAATATCTTTAAATTTGATATTTACCTTATACCCCATTTTGGGGTAACCACAAGCAAATTGAATCAAGTTATCAACCAAATCACTTATCTTTTCTTTTGCCATTTTTTCATTAAACATTATTTCTGAGTCAAAACATTTTACATTTTGCACAACGACATTTTAAAGGCAATTTTTTCATGTCAACTTACATGTCAACAACTGTAGAAAAAATATACAACTGTAGTTGAAAGCATAAATATCTTTTGGAGTGATTTAATCATTTGTTTTTTTATGCTTTATAACAGTGCTGGCACCACATCCAATACCTGGCTTTTTTAAATAGCTTTTTTTTTCATTCCAATTTGCAGAGGCTGTTTGTAGTTTTAAATTGATCTAAAATATTTGGCTATAATGAACTTTGGCATTATGTCTTTTAATAGTCGATAAAGGTCATCATATAAAAATGGCATTATAGGTTTAGCATATTGATATATGGTTAAAAGGGATCGCATAATTTGCAAATTTGCAAAGAAATAAAATTTTGATAAAATTAGAGGATCCTTAGAAACAGATAAAATAATTGGTAGCTCATGCACGAAGGCTGCTTACATTTTAGTACAGATTCTAAAAATCTACATATTTTACAAATACTCTCCCAAATATTAACAGCTCTTAAAGCCACCTTTTCATCATCAACCCATCGATGTTTATTTATTAAGTTCCACAAAAAGAAACTTTACTTTCGGTCACAACTGTTCCGTCTGGCAGGAGAAGTTTATAAAGAGCTTTTAAAATTTTTTTAATACCCCAGTCTGTTTTTCCCAGTTTTTAATGATAGATGAATCGAATAAAGACCACAAGGTCCAGATGGAATTAGTTTGTTTAGTTTGTTCATTTTTAGCAGTTTTTTCAGATAGTTTTGTAACTCAGAGTTGAAGACCAGATTTGCATTTGGGCCATCCATAGATGCTTGAATAAGTTTGGTTTTATTTATTTCAAACCCAATAGAACATTAAAACATAAAAGATTTCAAACCCAATAAAACATTATGCAATAGATCTCTACTTTGACTATGTCCAATAAAGGTTGAGTCTAGGTAATGGGTATAAACACAGTTTAAAACACTATCCCAATAATTAACAACAAATTCACCTGCCCCATTTAAACAACTGAGTTAAAAATTTTATCAAAAGAAATAGCATAAAAGTCTGAATAATCTATATCTCTAATAAGAACTGATTGAAAATGAGGAGCTATTCCAAAATTTGTATAAGGGATTGTCCATAAATTATGCAATTCAAAATATATTTTAAAAACAGTAGTAGGAGATATTATGCTTTTAGTAGGAGATATTATGCTCTTTTACACTGTGGTTTTCATTAAACTTAATAGGCCTTTTTTTATTTATTTAAATTAAGATTCTGCAAAGAAAAACTTTTGATCTTTTTTCTTTTGTTTGTTGTAAAAGTTTGCATTATGTAAACTAAAGACGATCCCTAATATGAGCACTTGTATTTTTGAAGATCTTTTTAGCTATAGGACTGTCAGGAAACATTGATTTAAACAAAACTAAAAGTCCATCACTAAAACAAAAAAAACTGACGATAAAACATTTTTAAGTGTCTATCTCTGCATCATTAACCAAAATCTGAGACAAAATACAACTGAAGAGTGGAAACTTGAACTGTGTTTTCTGACAAAGTGATTGTTACAATATGTATACTTTTTGTTGTTTTTAAGTCAAGAAATAAAAGTTCACAATCCTTCTTTCCTGTTGAATGACATTTTAATGCTCTCTGGCCTATATTAGACAGTTCGATTATTCAGTTCAATTGGATGTGGACAAACACATTTTGCTGAGGTATATAAAAGGTAATAAAAACCATGATTTTTCCCCTGATTTTTTTTTAAATTTAACCCTATTTTCCCCTGATTTTTTTGAGAATTATCTACCCTGACTTTTCCCTGATCTGGCAGACATCCTGTAATAAATGCATGCATTTATGTATGATGTGTTACTGAAACATAGGGCTATAATACACCATTCATTAGTGGTTGCAGCAGACACTATCAGGATACCTATGTAGGACTTGATAAAGAGAAAAATCTTTGTTTGTATGTATGTATGTATGTATGTACATATGTATGTATGTATGTGTGTGTGTGTATATATATATATATATATATATATATATATATATATATATATATATATATATATATATATATATATATATATATAGACACACACACACACACACACACACACACACACACACACACACACACACACACACACACACACACACACAAACTGGTAGGCTGGTTCTTAAAATAACTTTTTTTATAAATGATTGCTGGCACCCTCTGAATATGTTGTATATAATAAAAAAATTCTGGATTTAAAATTTTTTTGAATAAAAATTATTTTATGGGGTTGCTACTGACCTTCAAACATTAAATAAGTCCCTAATATAATAAAAAAAAAGTTTTTCAAAAGTATGTCATGTTGGGTCTCAAACGAAGCGAAATTATATAAAAATTTTAAAAATATTAATCATTTTATAATTAATTTTTTATTTTAGATTTTAGTGAACAGAAAATTACATTTTTTAACTAAAAATTAACAAGATTTTTTTATTATAATTTTTTTTTATTAATGTTTTTTATAAAATGATTAATATTTTTGAAATTTTTATATAATTTTGCTTCATTTGAGACCCAACATGACATACTTTTGAAAAACTTTTTTTTTCATAATATTAGGAACCTATTTAATGTTTGAAGGTCGGTAGCAACCTCATAAAATAATTTTTATTCAAAAATTTTTTAAATCCAAAATTTTTTTATTATATACAACATATTCAGAGGGTGCCAGCAGTCATTTATAAAAAAGTTGTTTTAACACACACATTAGGTGTAACAAAAAACAACTTAAAAAAATATATCTACTCCCTCTAAATGTGTTCTATATAATAAAATGATACTGGAATTGAAAAATTTTTGAAAAAAATTTATACCTATTAAAGATTTATTATTAATGTAAACATCATTTATGTTTTAATATCTTTTAACAGTAACACAACTTGTGGCTTTTTATCTAACAATACTAATATTGTACTAAAATAATGTAAGTATTAAGATGAAAAGTTACAAATTGTGTTAGAACATAAATGATGCTTATGTTAATAACTATAAACATCTTTGACATTTTAAATAATTAAAATTTGGAATAAATAACTTTTAAAAAATATCATGTTTTTATCATTTACATTGGTTAATTGGTATTGGATTGCGAGTTCAAATCTTACTAACAGATCATTTTTATTCCCTATGTAGACATTTGAAAAGTTTTAAAGTTTAAACTTTCAAGTAATGAGGTTTAAAATAAATGAAAACTTTGATCTTTTATGAAGTCTTTTAAAACTAAAAAAAGACATTTTATTTTTATATTTTCATTTTTTTTCCCATCTTTAATCTACTTTTTCATTCAATTTAGGGGATTAATAACTGCATAGATAATTTGTATTCATATTAAAGAAAATATTAAAAAAAAAAACATTTAAGCTAACTTAAATTGATTAAAACTTAATAATTAATGTATATCAACAAAACTGTTGTTTCAGTCAAAGCTTGCCCTTTTTATTTTATTTTGGATCTCTTTATAATATATGCTGCAATCTACAGAACTGATAATTTATTTTATGCAAGTTTCTTAACACCTTCAATATATTTCATCATTGTGAATTTTTTTTTAAGCTATTGAAGTATTTTTTCACTCACAACTAGAAAATCACATTTATTTGAATAAGTATTTTACTAAATACCCAAAAATGTTTGTGACAATTAAAAAAAAAAATTTGGATTTTAGATTTTATTAGCGTAACTCGTTTCTAATGATCATAAGTATAAATCTTTATGAAGATTTTTAAATTAAAAAGTTAGCATACTTACACATCTTAACAAGCTAGCATACTTGCACGAGATATATATTATTTGACCAGTAAGAACATATTATATCAAATTTTATTTTGAAAAACTTGTTTGATTTAATTTGCAATGATTTTGATAGTCTCGCACCTAGCCATCTTCTGTAATTTGGAAAAGTAGTAAAAAAATGTAATTAAACTTTATGATAAAATACAAGAGCTTTAATTTAAGTAATTTACAATGTATATAGAGTGTGTAATAATAAAACACTTTTGTATTTTAGAAAATTTAGTTAGCACCTGCTAGTTAGATTATTATTTTTTTTTAGATTTTTAAGAAACTTATTTTCACATCTGCATTTAGAAATTAATTCATAGTTTTTTTTATCCTAAAGGGAAATAAGTTTAAATTTTTCTTGCAAACACATCATACATTTTTGTTATACAAAAACGTATGCTATAAAGAAAATGCAGCCTAGTTGGGAGTAAACAAGAAAAAAAAAAAAGAGAAAAAAAAAATTATGAGTAGAAAAATGCTTGATCTCCCGTCTTTATGCTCATGGATCAATCATGCTCATGGATCAATCATGATAAATAAATTGATCACAAACTACATTCCTAAATATAGCATTGCAACGGCAATGTTTTTGGGAGAAAATAGGAAAAAAATTATTAATGCACAACTCCTATAGTGATAAGAACTTTTTTTGTTTTACTTTATTTTTAATTAGAAAAGTATTATATATAAATATATAGGCCTCAGCAGGAAACAAGAGCTATAGCTCCCACTTTTGCTCACATGTTATTTTTTCTCCTATGGTTTACAGGAGCAATTTATGATTCTCGCAAAAGCATAATTTTTTCACAAATATAAACCTTTTTTTTTCACCTCCTTTTTTTAGATACTGATCAGAACAATTAAAAACTCTTGTGCAAACTACATTGAAAAAAAAGACAAAGTTTGAGTTTCAGATTGACTTTTTTTGTCAACAAAACGTGATTTTTTTTAATTAACAGTCAATATTACAACAACATAATGATCAAGTTCACAAATTTGTTAATAAAAGAAAACCATTATTGTGGTAATTAAATGAAAAACGCAAAAGCCATTTTCAAAATAAACCAATAATTGCAAAATAAACTGCATAGATTTTTTAAATACAGTTAAAGCAAAAAAAAAAAAAAAAAAAAAAAAAAAAAAAAAAAATTAATTAGATTGGATAAAAAAAAAAAAAAAAAATTTCCCTTGAAAATTTTTGTACTAGGTCATAGGTCATATGCATGGAGATGATTTTCACAAATTTTCAAAAATATTTTGTGATGTCCGAGAAAGTTATGGCCATTTTAACATTTTTGGCAAAATCCTAAAATACAGAAAATATTTATTTCCTTCATTTTCAAAACAAAATTTCCAAATTGATAAATTTTTGAAGTAAAATAAAAGCTAATAAAAGAAAAAATTTCTTTATGAAAAAAAAAAATTTTTTTGCGTTTTTAAACATTTATAATTTTGCATTTGTCATTTCTGTGAAAATCAAAAATTCTCCAAACACTCCACACCACTATGTTCTATTATGTGCACATTATTTGTGGCAAAGTGACAAAATCTCATTGTTTAATTAAAAATAAAAAGATCCCGAATGTATAATAAGGCGTCCAACATCTTTTTATTTATGAGTTCAACATTAAAATTTTAATTTTTCATTTAGCTTATACACTAAACAAGAGGACATTGGTCAACAACAGGAGGACATTGGTCAACAACAGGAGGACATTGGCCATCAACATTGGCCACCTTAAATATATGATTCTATAAAAAGTAATTATAAAATTCTATAATACTTGCATAAAATTGATACAATCAACAAACAACACTTATTTTAAAAAAACAGCAAATTTATAAGATACATTAATTTGAAAATTAAAAACAAATTGTGCTACAAAAATCTATTAACTAAATATATTATTTTATTTTTCATTGCATTATGAATATTTTTTGGAATTTAGTGAAAAGTTAAACAAATATGATTTTCTGATGAAAATACTTTATCTTAAAAAAAAGTTACATAATGATGTTGTATACTGAAGGATCTGTTTAAGATTAATTTTTTTGTTTTTCTTTTTTAAAAAATATTTCTTTAGTTTAATTTTTTTAAGTTTTTTTTTCAGCACATTTAAACTGTCAAAACATGCAAAGAGCTATAACCAAGTTGTCAAAACAAATTACTACATGCATGGTCAAATAAATCATGCAACCAAAGGCCTATCCTCAGAAGGCTTGTATATGTGTGTATATATATTTATTCAGATCCATGTTTCCATATCATTTTATCTTTATTCCAGAGATAACCAGTTTTTCCTGAATTTCAAAACATTTTAATAAACAAACATTTTTTTAAAAACATTTTTGCATAGTTACATTACACTTTGATAATCAATAATTCATTTTTAATGCACTTGATGTTTTTTACTATTTTTGTTTAGGTAAGTAAAATAAAATTCAACCTAAAAAACAGTAAACATGAAACGGAAAAAAATTGTATTTTACAAAGGCCTTGATTCACCTATGTAAAGTGACTCTCACAAGTGGGAAGGTGGTCTGGGTGATTGTCTGCTGAAACCTGTTTGTGTGCACATGCATATAAAAAAAATTAAAAAATAAATAAAACTACCTATCCATATCAGTTTCTTCAACATCATCACTATAACTCCAATCTTCATCATCTTCAAGATCTACCATCAGAGAAAGCATCTCTGGAACTAAAATAATGTGAAATAAATGTAAACAATTATTAATAATTGTTATGCAATAATTATAAATATAACAATAATTATTAGTTGTTTACGTATATTTCATGAATAACATAGTAGACCAAAAAGGAGGGGCGGGTAAAAAATTACTTTTTTGCCTTATTCAATTTTGTTGCTAAAACTACCCTTTAAAAACTTGTCTTATTCTATAAAACTACCCTTTAAAAACTTTTCTTATTCTTAAAAAACATCCTTAAAATAAAAACTAGAGGACTGTTTTGATTTATAAAAAAATATATTTTTCTGAAAGTTACATTAATATATAATGCAAAAAATTAATTGATTTTAAATCTTTTTCTTTTTTCTTTGATACACATATGAGAGTTCATATGTGTATCGAAAAAATTATATTAAAATATTACTTCTTACCGCTTATATAATAACTTAATGATAAAAAGTCGCTAAATGGAATAGTTCTAGACGTAGCTAAAATAGCTTAACACATACGTCAATTGCCGGTAGCTTAACACTTTAAAACTAGTCCTTAGTGTATATACATACAAGTATATACATATATACATGTATGTATATATGTATATACACAATGGATAAATACAGTATGGATCAGTATATATATATATATATATATATATATATATATATATATATATATATATATATATATATATATATATATATATATATATATTAATTTATAAAAATAAAGAAAACAACTTTTTATGGTACTAATAGTTTCATGCCTAAAGGCAATCATCAGCCATGTAATACAAAACAAGAAACAAAAAAAACCGTTAAAATATAAAGTTACAGTGGAGTGTGCTCCGTCGTCAAAACAAAACAAAAAGATAAGAAAAAACTAAAAACGGCTGCCTAATCACCCGTATCGAAATTCGAAAGGAGGAATTTGCTTTTATGTCTACATTTAGATACTAATTCATTCCTCTTATTTAATAAGTTATCATAGGTGTACAATATTATGAAATACTTTTCGTATAGAGTTTTTTGTATTTTATTGCAAATACAAAATATCATACAATATTATATATATATATATATATATATATATATATATATATATATATATATATATATATATATATATATATATATATCAGCAAAATACCTTCTATTTATAGCAATCAAATTAATGTAAAACATTTTTAAATGACAATATACTTCTAACTAAAATAAATTTTCATTTCATTGAATAAAAAAATCTTTAAAATTTTTTTTTTATTTATCTAAACAGGAGCAATATATTCTCATTTGTTATAATAGTTCTGTTAACATACAATACATTTGTTTATGATTTGCAATTAAATGAAAATTTTTTTGAATTCTCACACTTTTCTTTAAATCTAATAAAAAAAAATTTTTATATTCCTCATTTAACTTAGTAACACTAAATACGCCCACCCTCTTTTAACTCCATAAAACAAAATACTCACAAATTTTTTGAAATTTTTTTTTTGTAACTTTTTCAATAAAACCTTCAAATGTTAAAACTTTTTTTACAATTTTTTTTGTTAATAAATAAAAGTTCATAAATATACTGCAATATTCAATATCATAAATAGTCATTCAAATGTTGCTTACCAATTCTAGGAATTAGTTCACTTCCATGTTTTCGTATCATAGCTGGAGCTAAATAAAACTTTTAAAATTCAACAAATAAAAATTAAACAACAAACAAAATAACAATAAATCGTAAAAAAAAAAACATAAAACAAATAAAAATATAAAAAAGCAACATAAAAACTATTAAACTCAAAGCTTTTACCTGTTTCAGATAGTGTAACAATTGACTCCAATGCTAAATGTCGAATTGAGTTTTCATGATTTGTATTAGTCAAAATCTAAACTTACAATATTATTAGTAAGTTAATAATAGAATACAATAAATAATAAAAAAATAAAAAATATATTTTAATTTATTATAATAACAAAACTAATTTATTCTGCTTATTTGGAATGTCAAATAAAAAATATTTTTATTCTTTATATAGATTATTCTAGTCATATTTTAAAAATCGGGAAAATGGTTTGAAAAAAATATCCGGAATTTGTTTTATAATATATAAATAAATATATTACAAAAATATATACATTAACTTGCATGTATTGAAAATACTTTTAATATTTCGGAAAAACTAAAAGTTGAAAAAATTAATCCGAAATTCTGTAAATATCTGCAAAAAGATAATTCCTGTATAATGGAAATTTAACAGAAAAAGGTAAAAATCCTATTCTTTAATTGGCTCTATAATTAGATAACGAAAATTTCTTGATGATATTATTAATTTTGTTGAAAAACTTTTAAATCAAATACATGGCTTCACATTAATAAATGGCCTTGCATTAATAAGTATCTACTATGTCATTTTTTGGAAAAACTTAATAGACTCCTCTTTAGATAAAGGCCTCCTCTTTAGATAAAGGATGGTGTCAAATAGTTGGTTAACTATTTTTTAAAGTTGATAATGTTGAAAGGATGATGGTAATTTTAAAAGAGTGTTGTTAATCTGGACAAAATGATTAATTTAAATTATTAAATTTAATTCTTCTAAGAGCCTCTTTTCAGTATCTTTAAAATGCCTTGGTTGAAATTAAAAAACTTTTTAACAAATTTAAAAAACAAATCAATACAAAAATGATTGATGCTATTTATGTTTCATTAAATTGTTCATTAAATTATGTTCATTAAAGTTTCTAAACTTTTTTTAGAATTTTAATAAGTATTCTGAGCCCCTCCCACCCACAAAACCCCTAAAGACAACCCCCCTTTTCCTGATTAGAGCCAAATTGTTGCTTAATTTAAACTCTTAATAAAACTTAACTTAAAAAATAATTAATCAAGACATGTGCCAGTAGTGCCAAATTAAAGAGCACAAATTGAGCCAAGTAGATTTGACAAACCAGCTTGACGAGTTTGCAAAAAACTGACTAACCGAGACAAAAAGTCTCTGATACTGGAATTTCTAAAGCTGCCACACTTTTTAAAATGAAACTGACAAGTTTGTTGAAGAAAGCAAATGAAATTACTTTCTGTGTTAATTTCCACAAGTTATTGTTTAGCTTGGAAAGATCATTATGTTAATCTTGAAATTTTCAACTTTCTACTATGAGCTTTAATTAAAGCAGACACAATCATAGCAACCTGATTATTGAATAACTTCAACCTGTCTGCCACTAAAGTAATATCCTCACATTGCACAATTCTTTGAAGAGGTGAAGAGTAGCATTATCTGATTCATTCTAGTTTTTCAATTAAAGCCCCAACTTCAAGTGGTATCTATTTCCATGTTCCATTACTCTAATCATTCTGTTAACTTTCATTTCCTACTTTCTTTTACTTTCTAAGCATGAATGTTTCATATTGTACCTTTTTGAACTTTTCATTTAATATTAAAAACTTATTTAATCTAAATATAATACAACACCATTATCTTTTTTTTTTTTTTTTTTTTTGAATATCATAGATTATCCAGGTCATATTTTAAAAAATCGAAAAAATTGTTTGGGTTAAATATCTGAAAAAAAATCAGGAATATGATTTCCCTTACTGTCCTTTTAATTTTTCTCTTAGCTGAACTGTTATAAATTTTTTTCAAACTTTTTTCAACTTTTGTATGATTGATGAGTGAAAAAGCTCAAAAAACAAATATATTACAAAAATATATACCTAAACTAATATGCATGGAAAATGTTTTGGATATCCTGAAAAATAAAAGTTAAGAAAATTATCTGGAATTTCAGAAAAAGATAATCTGGGTGCAACATTACTCTGCGTAAAAAAAAAGTTATTTTTTTGTGTGCAGACAGAATGGTCTGACTTTCCAGATTTCCTGTAGGGTATCATGACACAATATCAAAAAGCCAGTTTTGTCAACTTGGCCAAAAAGTTACCATGTTTTCCACCTGAATTACTTGCAGGTTTCTTGCTTGTCAACAAGCTCTGCCACTCATTACAGAGAGAAATATGATATAATAGATTTCATTTTTTTATGTTGATGTGTGCCATGCCACATAAAATTAACACAATATTTAAGTTAATACTATGTCACTAGCAACATACCTGATTTCTTGGTTTGTGACATGATCTCTGTCACTTTTTTTATTGTTTCATAAAAAAAAAATAAAAAAATTTCAAAGTTGTCTGCAATTAAGTAATTTAGGACCAGTGATTGAAGATGATGGCTGTCCAATTAACCAAATGTTAGTGGATTTATAGTGAAGACTAGATGGTGGCATCTGGCAAATGACAGGAACTGGTTGACAAGGATTTAATTTCAGTTATTTAAACTTTGCAGCTTTTTTTCAACATTTTTATTTTCATTTATTTCACTTAAAAACATAAATTATTTAGCAGCAATAATAATTATAAGTCATTATATATGAAACTGTGTCAATCTTTCTAATTTGATTGTTCATGAAATAAGTAATTCGTGGAATGCATGGATGGAACTTTGCTACTATTTAAAATAGAAAATCGAGACCTATCTTCTGGGACTTTGCAGGGGTTCTAGAATACTTAGAATTTTGTAAAAAAAAATTTTATACTGTACTCAAACATTAAATAAAAATATGAAAATAGGTATGATTGGTTTTTGAAAAAACTGTTAATTCACCTCCCCAAGGCCATGAAGACTATTACAGTTGAGGAGCTACTTTATTGTGAATTACAACTCTCTCTCAACTCAACGCAGAGAAACAAGTTAACCGCGGTACTACCAGGGACTTGGTGGGTATCAATTCTTGAAAATACTAAAATTAAATAATTTTCATTAAATAATTATAATAATAATATTTTGAAGAGTTTACATAATATACCTGTAGCATAAGATTAATTGTTGGTTGTAGATCTGATCTTACAAGTTTTGGTGCAATTTCAACAAGCTCAACAAAGCATTTTAAAACACTGTCATCTTCCTCATTTTTCACAGATATTTCAATGGCTTGTAATATTCCAGGATAAATATCACCAAATATTTTATATTCAGCTTCTTCAACTTGTTCCGTGATAAACGTGCATGCAGCTCGAGCTGAAAGTAACCTAACCTAAGAACATAGTATTATTGCAGCATGTGATGCAGTAACATATTGAAATAACTTTTAACATAAGTTAGTAGCATAAAATAAAATATATTAATTTTATAGTTATTTTTAACATGAACTTAGTAACATAAGCACATAGCTTATACCTTGGATTTTATATTAAAAAAAAGCTTACTTTATCTTCATTTGAAGGTTTTATACAAGCAGAAAGCATTTCCTTTATAACCTGGATATAAGTTTCTTGTTGCTTACCAAAGATTCCAGGAAAAGCTCTAAAAAAAAAGTTTTTTACAAATTATTATAATTTAACCTAATTTTCTAAATTATCATATTCTTATCACAACCTATACATATACGTAACATTATATAACATATATATATATATATATATATATATATATATATATATATATATATATATATATATATATATATATATATATATATATATATATACACATTACATAACACATATATACATTAAATAACACATAGACATAAAGTAACAAATATATATTACACTTCCAATTATTAATTTAAACTGATGTCACACTAAATAGCATAAACCAGATAAAGAAAATCTATTTCATTAAACAGTAATTCAGCATTATATATTAAATGCATAAGATTTAAGGTTTAACAATGTTGAACTTCATATCTTATATATCCATTAAAATTGTTAAAAACACATAAAATTCTTCTTACATTAAGATATGTAGTGCAACCTCTTTTAAATTTGTTTCTGAAGCAGCACAACACTGATAAAGAAATGTAAGAATATCAGGCCACTGATTGTTACCGATTTCATCTAAATATTTCTTTTAAATTTTACACACTTTAAATAAAAATTTTCAACAAAAAAACTTAACTACAGACTGACATAAAACTAAGTTAACTAAAAAAATATACCTAAATAGCATTTAGCAAACTCTGCTAAACAGTCGCAAAACTTCTTTCGCATCTGTTCATTTTGTTCTGATTGCACGGCTTGAATAAGTTGAGTTTTACACAACTGTTGAGTTCCAACATCAATCTCTTTAATAAAGTTGTCTGTATTTGAAATTAGGCGTCGGAAAAGTACAGCTGCCATGGTGCGTAACTAAAAATTACGTGAACTATAAACATAAAATTGTTATGTATTAAAACACCATCAAAACTGTAGAACAAACTTTGTAAATAATAATGCTTGTGAGTGCTTTTTAAAAAAGTACATGAATATATTTGAAGTCCCTGTAGAATAAATGATACTTTAAACTATGACAATAATGGTTTATTGTATATAACAGCTGGAGCTTATGGTTAGGTTATTGAGAATAAAGAATCTAAAGTAAGTTTGAGTAATAAAGAATGCAATAACTACTAACATTCATGTATGTTATACTTTTCAGATTTATATTTTTATATATTTATTAGACATATGTTCTTTAGATGTATGGTGTATATTTACTTTAAAAAACTTGAATAAATGATAACCTAAATAATTATTAAAAAATAAATCAACACAAAAAATACCTCTAAGACATTTGCAGCTAACATACATTGCAATAAGAATTGTATTCTTGTAGACTCAGGAATTGCAGAGTACTGAGTCTAAATTTTAGAAGTATAAAGGCCATGTAATATACGTTTTACTATATAGTATTACAAGATATTATAATACATACATATTAATATATATATACATATATCATAATAATACTAGCAACAATTATGTGTCATAAATTAAAGATTCATCATACTTCTGCTGCGTTACGGACATCATTGTCCATAGACATCAGCGACCTGACAAGTTCGTAAAACTGCTGTACGTCGTCCGCCATTTTGTTTGGAAAGGAAAGAGCAGGTAAAGTCAGCGCGAACAAAAAGCCGTAAAACTAGGGATTATATTTTCAACGGTGATTGACTTAAAAACCTTCTTTAAACTCAAATAAACTTTTTGTCTTGAAAAAAAAAATTAATTATTACGCAATGAAGTACATTTAAAGACTTGAGTAATTTGATGTTTATGCAAGAAATAATAAAAACTTTTTTAGTCCATTTTGTAGTTATGTTGAGAACTATTTTCGTATATCTAAATAGGCAGATATATATATTCTGATAATTTTCAAGTCAGTTATGAACTCATATAATAGATATAACTTTTATATGTTCAAATTTATGTCATATGATATTTTGCGAAAAGTTGAGCTAATTAGAATATGTAATCAAAATTATCCTAAAAACTAGACATCATCCGCTTAAATAAGAGGACTGGTAATTCGGAAAAAAAAATTCCTAAAATAATATTATAATTTTTAAATATAGTTTTATCAAAAAATTCATAAAGTGTTCAAAACCATATAAAGTTTACAACCACTTCAAAACGAGAGGGAGGGGGTGTAAATTATATATAGATTTAATCTCTAAAGATAAATTTTTTTCTAAACGCATGATGCACTTAATTTCAGTGTGTTGGTTAAAATAATTTTTAAAACTATAATTTTTTTTCAAGTCTTAAAAAACTCAGAATTTTAAAAACTGCATCAAAGCTTTAAAAATTTTAAATATTTTTTTTTGATACTTCAAATAAAGTTTTAATAATTTATTTTTATATTGGCGAACAAATTGTTTGTCAAACCTATTAAAATTTAGATAAACAAGTTTCTGATATGTTTCTGATATACTGTTTTAAAGTATTTTTATTTTATTATTTATTTTTATTACAACTTTTGTTATCCTTTTTTTTTTGGTATTATCTTTTTTAACTACAATTCTTTGTTAAACCCTTTGTTGAATACAAACTTAAATCAACATGGCTTCGTAAAAAATAAAGCCTGTGTAAAAATTTGCTAGAAACATTAGACATTTTAACAGCAAGCATGAGTGACAGTTTAGCGGTAGATATGATTTATATGGATTTTGCCAAAGCCTTTGATAAGGTTCCACATAAAAGACTGTTGAAAAAGTGTGAAGCATATGGTATCAAGGGTGTAATAAATGATTGGATATCGTCTTTTTTAAAAGAAAGAAGGCAAAGAGTTGTGATGGGTGTAGACGTGTCTCCATGGCTTGAGATTTTTAGTGGTGTGCCTCAAGGCTCTGTGCTTGGTCCTTTGTTATTCTTGATATTCGTAAATGATCTACCATCAGTTATTAATTCCAATTGCAAATTATATGCAGATGACAGTAAACTTATCAAAGTTATAAAAAATGTTGAAGATCATGAGTCTTTGCAGAATGACATTAACGAATTTGTAAAATGGACGGATATCTGGTTGACAAAGTTGAACATCGAAAAGTGCAAGGTGATGCATTTAGGTAAAAAAAATCCACGTATGAGTTATTGTATGAACCACGACGGCAAAGAGTATAAATTAAAAACAACAGTAAGTGAAAGAGATTTAGGAGTGATTATTTCATCCGACCTTAAATGGCATGATCAAGTGACTTCAGCGACAGCAAAAGCACAAAGAACTTTGGGTCTAATTAAACGTACGTTTACATACTTCGATGTGGAAATGGTGAAATCACTATATACGACATTTGTGAGACCGCTTCTTGAGTTCGCTATACCTGCATGGCAGCCTTATTTACAACGGGATATTGATGAGTTAGAGAAAGTGCAAAGAAGAGCAACGAAGTTAGTTCCACAACTTAAAAAGATTTCATATGAAAAAAGACTGAAAGCAATGGGTTTAACAACATTAGAGAAAAGACGAGCTAGAGGAGATCTTATACAACAATACAGATTCAAGCAAAATATAGACCAAATAAATTGGTACAAAAATCCAAAACCGGCATCATCCGTGACTAGTTCAGGCCCGGCTTATTCTGTAAGGGGCAATAAATACAGGCTAGAAAGAGAATACGTACCATCATGTTTACCGAGATATAATTTTTTTACCAATCGAGTTTGTAAAAATTGGAATTTGTTACCAAATGAAATCATTGAAGCAACATCGTTGAATGTTTTCAAAGCGCGAATAGATAAACATTTTTCATAACTTGTGTTTTTTTAATTTGTGTGGGCTGTCTATAACCCGATGCTTGCATCGCGTTCCACAATTTATTTTATTTTTAAATATTTATATTTAAACAAATATGTAATTGTTACAGCAATAAATATTACTATTACTATTACTATTACTAAATGTCCGGGAAAATATATTGGTAAACTCTACTCAACACTAAAAACAAACTTTGAACGTTTAAACTCTGATCTAATATCTCTCATATTTAAAAACATCTTTCATCGTCACGAAAATGCAAAAATTCCACTAATCTGACGAATCCATGATACAAGCTCTACCATTAGACAAGACTTGGCCAATAAATTTTAGGGGCGGCAAAATGCTTGAATAAATTTATCACTATCATTATAATAGTAGTTTTACATGAATCAATTTAAACAAATTGGGTTGTAGTATAAATTTCATTTTTATATTTTTTACCTTACGTTTAGAAAAGAAAGCTGATATAAACATGCTCCAATTTATGATCGAGGGTAAGAAAATTATAATTGCACGCCCTCAGGAAGCATTGGAGGCCAATGTTGCGGCGATCTTAAAACAATCGTTCCAACACTGGAATTTAAAGGAACAAAGAGAAGTATTTAGAACGCTGATGGAGGAAAACATTCCAAGAACGATGCAAGAAAATACTTAAATGTGCTTTGTTTTTTTTTAATACTTTTACCTATAGTTTATGTAATTATTGGGTGTTTAAAAGAATAAATATATAAATATAGTTTAAAAATGCGTTTTAAAGTACTCTTTATATAAATATGTGCTTTAAAGTTTAAATAAATTTAAATAAATATTTACTTTAAAGCTTAAACAAACCTAAATAAATATGTACTTTAAAATTTAAATAAGTTTAAATAAATATATACTTAATAAGCTTTTGTTGTGTAAATACACTTTTTTCAGTTTACTCTCATTAATTACTACTTATTAGATTGCGTTCGAAACTTACTGCTAATATGACAATTTGACAATTTGAATTCAGACATTATGAATCAATTTTGTTATAAGGGCGCAAGTTGAATTTTAATCAAAATAAGTTTGATATGTTTTTATATTGTTTAAAGATAACTGTGTTAAAAGGAATTTTCTATTTGTATCCATAGCAACACAATGAACATGCAAACATCATAGTTTCTGTTGAATGGCCTAAGTCAATACTTTTTTTGTTAAAAGGTCACGAACGATATTGTGTGGTATGAAACTAGGTCTAAACTTTTTTTTTTTTTTTGAATAATTATATCGCTGTTCATATAATAAAAAATAAAATGAATTACAAAGAAGCATAGATAAAAAGTGTATATAAAAACATACATAAGGTTCAAAGAAACAAAAAACAGACATTGGGTTCAAAGAAGATTCTGTTGACTAGTGTCATAACAATCTTTTTATTAAGACTTTTTGACAATAACAAAAAAGTCCACAAAACTTTAAAATCTTATAATAGTTTTTTTTTTTTTTTTTTTTTGTAAAAATTTTTACTTACAAAATGAAAAAACAGAAATGACCATTACAATTTAATTATTAAAACCTTTAATCAAACATATTTAAAATAAACACGTTATATTATAACGTGTTTATTTTAAATATGTTTGATTAAAGTCAGGAAATTTAAAATATATTTATAATTAATAAAATATATACATTTTCAAATTCCCTGACTGTTATAACTTATAACATCCCAAATATAAATAGTTGATATCTATATATAAGAGTATATAAATATAAGTACGTTATAGCAGTTATAAAATGTCGGAAATTCAGAAGATGCAATTTCATTAGTCATTTTAAAGAGAAAAGATCTTTTGTAGTGTAGTTTTTCAACTGATTCTATAATGGCAGGAAGACTTGGACTGGGCCGTCGGGATACCGGGAGATTCCCGGTGGGCCGGGTGCCATAAAAAAAAAAATCATATTTTTAGTTAGGTTAAAATTTTATTTTCAGTTGATTATTATAATAAACGTTAAGCTAAAACGTAACTAAAAGAAAATTGTAACCTCTTATCTAAACTCTGACATTTGGTATAAAATGAGACAGAGCACCGCGGAAGTGCATTTAACCAGGAAGTTTACACCTCCTTCCGTACCGTGACGCAGAAATATGTCCAGAGCTCGTTTCGAACCTGGATCTCCTGCTTATAAAGCAAGTACTGTTACCACTGCGACACGGCCGCACAAATGTATGTTTTAGAAGCTGTACATAAACGTGTAATATCGATAGTCAATTGCACATCAACAACTGGAAAATGAATGTATGATTCGGTTTGTGGCGTTTTTGAAAAGTTAGGCATTTATATTAGTAAATGTATTGGCAATGCAGCCGAAGGAGCCTCCAATGTGCAAGTCTCCCCGGGTCAGATTCATGTATGGTGTTATGTGCATGTCTTAAATTTAAAAATTGGTGACGTTACTATAAAAGTGGTTAAAATTGTTACCTTATTTTGTGTTTTAAACACATGGGCAGTATTATTATTGAAATCATACTTACGCTTCAATGTTTGGCATGAATTTAGCAAATTATATTTGTATATATTTGTAATCGGTGAAATATATATTTGTAATCGGTGAAACCCGTTGGTGGGCGAAGATATATCTTTTACTAAGATGTTTAGAAATTTCTTCATCAAAACCTCTCAAGAAACAAAAGTATTGATTATTTGTACATTGACATATTACAAATATTTCATGATATCTCTACATCAGTCAAATTTAATAATAATGTTAGTTACAAAGCAAAAGCTCTTTCAGATTCCTTGACAATTTTTGAATTAATTTTAACGGCAAAATTGTTTTTGAAAGTGATTGAGAACGCAACGTCATCATCTAAATATTTGCAAACAACTGGAATGGATATAAAACAAAAATATGGATTTGAAGTTCAGACTGTATTAAAAGAGA